TCCGTGCCAATCTAGATGCTCTTTTCCGAAAATGCTTTTAACGGAAAACTTTTCCGTTAAAAGCATTTCCAGAAAATCATGCCAGTCTAGACGTAGCCCCTGTATATACCAGTTCAAGATGTTCTAAGGAAATATATGTAACTATTCGACCCCCTTCCGCCCATTTTCCTGGACCTCAGCCTCATTTTTGGATGATGCACAGTCCAGCACTTTTCTTTTTGGCACTTGAAGCTCCTGAAGGAATTCTGCACCACTGCATGCACAGTCCAGCACTTTTCTTTTTGGCACTTGACGCTCCTGAAGGAATTCTGCACCACTGAATGTAGAATTTTGCAGAAATTAATGATGTGCATGCAGAATTTCCTTCTCCCACAGAAATTGGCTGCAGTGCTGCTGTCTCCACTAAGGCCACCAGACCTGGAGGTGCCCAGCTCAAATACAGAATACACTGGCAGTGGCTGGAGGGTTCCCGACAGCTGCAGTTCCTTTCAGACCTTGAGGCAAGGAAGTGATGTGTATAAGAAACTGTGTAAGCTCAGGACCAATATCAAGCTGTTTCTCCCTCTCGATCTTTGGACTCTGAGGGGTAGGGGGCAGGCATCTGACAGATCACAGCTGGGCTCCTGACAGGAAGGGGCAAATGTCTAGGCTAGGGGGGCCTTGTGGCTAGGCTCTGTGGGGAAAGGGATGCACAATGCTGGGCTAAGGGACCCTGTGGCTGGACTCTTGGGGAAAGTGCTGTAGGCTAAGTAACGGTTTAAAAAATTGGAAGTGCCCATTCTTTAAAATGTTACACATTTTTCATCTTTAAGACCCACAAAAGGTGTGATAATGTCTAGTCGCAATATTTAGCTCATTAGTTCAAACTGGACTGATCACGGGGAACTATTTAAAAACAATATTTCGGGGGAATCAGGCAAATTGGCCTAATGCTGGCCCTGGTGCAGATATCTGGGTTAGGGGACAACATGGTTGGACTTGGAGGGTGGCTGGGCCCCTGGCTAAGTTTGGGGGGCGGAGGGCAGCAGTGGGAGAGAAACAGGAACTCGGTTGTCTTTAACTCTACTCAAGAGGAGTGTGTGTGTGTGTGTGTGTGTGTGTGTGTGTGTGTGTGTGAGAGAGAGAGAGAGAGAGAGATTACAGACATATTTGCTGACAAGTATTTTGAAATAAAATACCAAAATAATTGAAACTGGTATGGTTATGTAATGTTATTCTGACATAAAATTTGCAGGATTTCCTGGATTTGTAAATATTGTGTGCAGAATTTTTGGTGCAGATTTTCTCCAGGAGTAATTTTACAGAAAGCATTACACAGAGGCAAACTTCAGGACTATTGGAAAATAGTCATCATTTGCATTTGCACAACTTGTAGATTTGATCTTGTAGGCTAAGTAATGGTTTAAAAAATTGGAAGTGCCCATTCTTTAGGATGTTACACATTTTTCATCTTTAAGACCCACAAAAGGTGTGATAATGGCTAGTTGCAATATTTAGCTCTTTAGTTCAAACTGGACTGATCATGGGGAACTATTTAAAAACAATAGTCACAAAGCTAAGAAACAAGGCTATGCTGGTTAAAACAAGCAAACAAAACAAAACAAATAAAAAGAGGCTGTCCTGGAGGGAAAGGGAAGATAGCTATTTAAAAACAAATAGAGAAAATAGAAAGTTGGCATCCATAAATATGAATTATAATCTAGGAAGTACAGAAAATTGATAAGGAAAGCAAAAGTACATAAATAGACATTTTTGGCCAGCAGAGTTAAAGACAATATCCACTTATGCTGTCCACACTGAAAGATGGATGTTGAGAGCATTTAGAGAACAACCATGAGAATGATTAAATGATTGAGAAACATGTTTTATACTGAAAGTCTCAAAGTGCACCATCTATTTAGCTTATCAAAGAGAAATTTAAGAAATGATTTTGTAACAGCGTACGGGTACCTTCACAAGAAACAGAAATTTGATAATAGTTGATCTTCAAACTAGCAGACACAAGTTAAACAAGAACCAACGTCTGGAAATAGAGACTAAAATAGATATAAGGTGCAATTGTTAGCAGTGAGAGCAATTAATCATTGGAAAAATTTACCAAAGATAATGCTACCATATATCACTGGAAAAATTTAAATCAAGTTTGGATATATTTCCTAAAATATATATTCTAGTACAAGAGTTCTCAAACATTTTGTTTCAGAGGCCCTGCCCAACATGCTTTAAAAACTCCACAGCCCACCTGGGCCTCTATTGATTTTCTGCATATAAAGTCAGGGCTGGTGTTAGTGGGAAGCAAACAGAGCAATTTCTTGGATTCTTAAGTCACGGGTGCCTGTGAACCTAATTTACTCCAGTTTCAGCTTTAGCTCTGGATTTCAGGGCTCAAGGGCGCCATGAGTCAGCAGTGGAAAGTGTAGTTTTGGCTTTCTGCCCTGGTCCCCTACAAGTCTAACACCGGCCCTGCTTGTCAAACCCCTGAAATCTGCTTGCAGCCCCTCTAGTTTAAGCACAGCTGTTGAATTTGAATTAGGAACTAATAGAGGTCTTGTGCCCTTTGTTATACAAGAGGTCAGACGAGATGATCACAATCACAAAAACTTTTATAAGTTCTGTTCACAAACATTACCAACTGCCTTGTGATTTCTGTCCTTTCATGCTTCCTATATAAAGGGACATTGTTATCCTAACATTTTAAATTGATAAAATTCAGGATAGAGGAATGCTTTTTGATAAAGAAACCTTTAATTAATGTGTCCTGATTTTTTTTTATAATAAATCTATCTAAATATTCTTGCTTCCTTTTTAAAGGTCTTGTCTTTCAAAGAACTTAAAATTCTCACTCTGTGTAGCTGTAGTTATGTTGAAACCAATATATTAGAAAGGCATAGTGGGTGAGGTTAATATCTTTTACTGAACAACTTCTGGAGTACGTGCTAACTACTTATGCTAAACAATCTATTCCACCTTTTATTTAACTATGATGCTAGGAATAACTTTCCCAGACCTGAAGATGTTTTGTGCAGCTCAAAAGCCTGTCTCGCCAACAGAAGTTTTGCCAGTAATAAATATTTTCAACACCATCTTGTCCCTTTAAAGTTCTCCTTAAGTCAAAACTGATGAGGATGAGGATAAATAACAGATCTAAAATTAAACTTTTTAAAAAAATCAACAAGTCCAGATAGCTTGCATTCTAGAGTTTTAAAAGAGCTGGCCAAGAACTTCACTAGAATATTCATACTGATGTACAATAACTGAGTTTTGCTTGTGAAAGGACTCTGAAAGGTTTCAGGATTTGGGCCACTGTTAACAGAACAACAAAAAGCATAGGAAATAGGATGTTCCACATAAGCAGATCATTTGTCTTTGTCCATCATCTAGGCCAGCTTTCAAAGTGTGTTCTGCAGGTACCAGGGGTCCTTGTCTTTGTCCATCATCTAGGCCAGCTTTCAAAGTGTTTTCTGCAGGTACCAGGGGTCCACAGCAGTCAGCAGTGGAAAGTGTAGTTTTGGCTTTCTGCCGTGGTCCCCTACAAGTCTAACACCGGCCCTGCTTGTCAAACCCCTGAAATCTGCTTGCAGCCCCTCTAGTTTAAGCACAGCTGTTGAATTTGAATTAGGAACTAATAGAGGTCTTGTGCCCTTTGTTATACAAGAGGTCAGACGAGATGATCACAATCACAAAAACTTTTATAAGTTCTGTTCACAAACATTACCAACTGCCTTGTGATTTCTGTCCTTTCATGCTTCCTATATAAAGGGACATTGTTATCCTAACATTTTAAATTGATAAAATTCAGGATAGAGGAATGCTTTTTGATAAAGAAACCTTTAATTAATGTGTCCTGATTTTTTTTTATAATAAATCTATCTAAATATTCTTGCTTCCTTTTTAAAGGTCTTGTCTTTCAAAGAACTTAAAATTCTCACTCTGTGTAGCTGTAGTTATGTTGAAACCAATATAT